CCCCAAAACCCCAAAACCCCAAAACCCCAAAACCCCAATAACTATAAGAAAATTGAGATAGGAATGTCCTTAAAATTTAAAATGATTGATCAGGATTCTTCCTCTTGTGTCGACGAGATTTGGTCTTCTTCTGTCTGATCTTATGCCCATCTAACTTTTTCTTATTGAGCTCATTAGGAAAATGCTCATTCTCCTTATACTTTTTCTCATTTTTAATCTTCCTTAGGCCTCCTTTATTATTTTTATTTGAGGTATATTTGTTGAATTTCCCTTTCGGATTGATCTGGCTACTCTTGTAATCTTTTGTTACATCTTTCAGTCTAACCATTTCTTCCTTCGAGGGGCTCCCAAACTCAACTTTGGTGCCGTACTCTTCATTTCCAGCCAGGATGCCCTCGGCTCTTCTTGGATCAGCATTTGTCATAGGGTTGTTTTTCCAGTGCCCACTGTTTGACATACTTGGGTTATCATTGAGTTTCATTTTATTACTCCCATCATTTTTCAAATTTGCTAAGCTCTCTTTTGCATTAAAAGTACCTGACTTCTCGAGCTGCTTGTCATTGAAATGGCCTCCGACACGGCTGAACATCTTCTTATTGACCACTTTCTCGCTGTACTCCTGGCTAATTTTGATCTCTCCATGCCCATGGATTAGGAACGGGTTGAACTCATCTTTAGCTAAGGATTTTATGATATCAGCCTCTTCTTTAGATCTCTTCACCATTTGCTCAGAGTACTTAGCTGCATTTTTCTTAGCCTGCTTACGTTTGTACTGTTGAGAGTAGTCCTTCTCATTCGAGCTTGACGCTTCGTTGTCATATCTTGAGCGGGATTTCGACGGTTTGATCTTTGGTGGCTCAAAGTTGCATAAATTACTTCTCTCAGTATGTGGTACTTCCATGATCTTTCCTAGTGGCATCTTACTATACTTCTCAAGAATGTTATCTGTCTTATCAAGATTGAACTGATTCTTGTTCACAAGATTTGAAGCAGATTTATCTCTCTCGAAGAAACTTGTGACCTTCTTGAATCCATTCTCGTGCAACTTCAGCATAGATCGATGGTTCTTCGCACTAGGGAAATTTGAAGTATTCTTGCGAAGAAGTGAATCCTTTTTTTGACATTTCTCACCTTCCTTTCGGACTTTCTTTTGGTTGTATGAAACATCTTGGTTCACCTTGTTCGAACTGACATAGTTCAGGTTCATGTTCTTAACAGTACTGTTCCTGTTCATTCTTGGGGAAGTTGATTTATGGATACTCTCCCTCGCGATGTCTTGATTTCTACGGGTTTTAGGAATTTTGGGAGCTATAGGACCTTCATATTCAAATTTAGGATGCTTTGCAAACTCCTCAAATTCATCAAATGTTTCTTTGCTCATACGAGTATCTGCAGATTTGCCTCTAACTTCTCGTGTAATACCTTCGTCAGTAATGACCTTATTCTTGGTATAGACAGCTCCAGAATCCTTTATCTTAATATTATCATCAAAGAGGATGACCTTGGTGTTGAAATCCTGATTGTGCTCCTCGATAGCATTGAGGCGTTGCTGATTGCTTTTCATAGCACAAAAGACCTTCTGGTAGTCCATGCTATGGATCTTCTTGTCTGCCCTTTTCATGTCTGTATAAATCTCTTGAATTTTGTCAAATCGCTTCTTTCTTTTATATTTTTCTTTATCAATATTGGATTTCTCTTCTTCAAATTTTGACCTAAGTTCAGCTATTAAAGCCTGCCTCTTATTTACTCAAAGACATAGCGATGTTGTCAAAGCAGATATTTATGTTAGTAATCTGTTCGTGGAGGTTCTCATCATTGCGCTTACTCACCTACAGTATGGATTAGACCGAAATTTGAGAAATGAAATCAATAAGAATTCTAGAAAATGGCTACCTTCTTTATAGTCTCATCCCAAAATTTACACTTTTTGTATTCATCAGTTGCCTTTTTAAATATCAATTTGAATTCCTTTCGAACAGAGTCGAGATCTACCTTTTCATTAGGAACAGGGAGAGCTTTGTCTTTAAACATGCCACCGAATTCCTTACTCTCCTTAACTCCAGGCAAGTGCTGGAGAATAGCAAAGCAGAGAGGCAAGTTCTGAACCACTACATTATGAGTAGACTGGTCGCTGGGACATATGACCACTCTTTCCATATTCGAAATAGTAGGGTTGGTCTCTACGCTCCTATCGTCAATGCTATGCTGAGCAAGCTTGAACACGCATTCTTGGCAGAATGCGTGCCCACAAGGCAGTGAGATAGGCCTCCTGCCAAACTCATTATACTTGTAGCAGCAGATAGAGCAGTTGAATATTGGATTATCCATTTTGAAATATTTTCTGGGGTTTAATAATTCAATTTTCTGTTTGTTTTAAGGGGTTTTGGGGTTTTGGGGTTTTGGGGTTTTGGGG